CTCGGGGCTCCCCACGCTGCCTGCAGCCAGCAGGAGCAGCCTCTCCAGCCCCTCCTCAGCTCCTGCTGCAACGGAGAACACGGGCACCGACTGACCTGGCTGATGCTGAAGAAGTTCTGATAACACAGTGAGTTTGGTTGGGTTTTTTTCTAAGGATCTCAGCACACGCTGGAGCTGTGACCAGACCTTAGAGCTTCTTCTCTAAGGCAAGGCAGCAAACAGCTGAAGCTTTTGGTTGCAGCTATGAGAAATACATCCTGAAAAACCCTAACTGAACCCCAAAATATGCCACCTCCAGCGTTTCTCTATCACATACATTCATACATGCATCTTGGTCTCCTCAGTCAAAAAAATGACATGCTAGAAAATATTTCACCTTATCCAGAAAAGCCAGGTTTGAAAGTGGAGCCACTCAGAGTTACAAAGGGCTGGCAGGGGAGCACTGCAGGCAGGGGACAGAGACTCTCTGACTGCTCTTTACTGACATGCCAGGTCATTGATTACTCTGTCTGGAATTGCACCTTTTGCAGGGCTTGGGATCCAGCTAGAACTGAAGTTCTAGAGGAGAGTTACTACACAAGGTGAACTTACAAATCAGAATATACATGAAAACTCTAATTTTTAAATTAATCCAAACTGCAGAAATTGCTACCCACAGCTCCTGAGGTTTAAATAGCTTAGGAGAAGGAACTGGGTAATGTAGCAGTTTACTTAAATAATTTATGCTTATTTGAGGCACTGATACCCTCCCTTTCTCCACCAATTCTATCACAAGTTTTCTTTCAAGACTGGACGTGGCCCCTCAGAAACCTCTGATTGCAAAGGCAGCTGAACACTTGATCTGACCTGTTTGGGTGGGAGGTGGGCAGCATGAACTGGAACTCCACCACACACGTGTTGTCCTTCAGCTGGCGATGCTGGACACTGTTCAGCTCATAGGCAATGTATGCCCTTCGAACATACACCTGGTTAGAGAGAAACTTCATCAGCTTAATGCTGCTAAGGAAGCAGAAAGAAGACAAATAATACACCAGACACTTCAGAAACGTTAAAAACCAAACTGATACCTCCAAATGAATATCGAGATATAATTTTAATTCAAACAGAATTTGAAGTGATTCTCTGAGGAAGGCCAGTCTAGCAGGACACAGCCAGCAGCACAAGGCACACAGAGGGAGCTGACCACATTCCCTGACTACAGCTTCACTTTCAATCTTTCCAACCACCTAAGTTTTGTTCAAGCAAAGAAGATAAGTTGAGTTTGAAATTTCACTCAGTTATGAATATCAATGCCATTAACTGGCAGGCTCCAAGCATGCCAGTTCCCACACAACCTACAGCTCTCTTCATCTTTCAGGGTAACAACATTCAAAATAAACAAACAAAACCAAAATGAAAAGCACAGAAAGATTAAAAATATTTATTGTTTCGATGGGAATAGACTTACCTCCAAAGCTGCCATTCTTACCACCTGGTTACTGTGGTAGAAGAAGTTGGGTAGCACGTCAAAGATGGATGTCTCAGACAAAATGAGTTTCTAGAAGAGATCACATTAAGCAAAGTTTTAAGAGAGAACTGCCTGTCTTGCAAACAAGGTCAGGCAAAAAAGCCCAAACACCAAATCAAACCTGACTAGTTCTGACCTCCACACTTTTCCCGTTGTTCAAGGACTATGACCTTTGTATACTAAATCAAAGAACAATAGAATCATCTCAAGTCAAGGGACTTAAAAGGATCAAGTCCAGCTCCCCTTCTCCTTGCAGGGCTACCTACAACTAAACCACTTGACTAAGAGCATCATCCACAATGCTCCTTGAACTCTGACAGGCTTGGTGCCATGTCCACTGCCCCGGGGAGCCTCTTCCAGTGACCAGGCACACTCTCAGTGAAGAACCTGTTCCTAATGTCCAAGCTGAACTTCCCCTGATGCAGCTTCACTCCATTTCCTCATGTCTTATCAGGGGTCACCAGAGAGAGGAGATCATCATGTCCCCTTCTGCTGCACCCCTTAAGGGAGGTGTAGACTGCAATGAGGTCATTCTGGTATCAGGGTAGGAATGAAAACAAAAATGGGGAGGAAAGGTAGAAACCAGAACAGCACAGTTTAAAGCCACAAGGACCTTGCGACTAGAGGTCAGATTTTAATACAGAAACATTAAGATCAGTGAGAAGAAAGCAGGGAAGTGAGGTGAGGAGTTTGGTAGGTACCTGCAGGTTCTCAATGCAGAACTGGTGCCCGTACATGTCAATAGCAGAGAGGAAGATGGACTCCACCTGGTTGTGGCGCAGCTCGTAGGATGGCAAATGGGAAGCAATGAGAACCTGGTAGGCAGCAAAGAGAAGGAGTGTCAGTGAAAGGAGCTGTGCTGGGCCACCAGCAGGAGGCTGTTCCCTCCAAGGCAGCACCAGTCTGCTCCATCCCAGCAGAGGTGACCGGTTTCTCCTGCGACTTCTGTGGGACCTGGGTGATGCTGCAAACTCTCTTCCCTCCCCGGCCTCATTTGTGTATCTGCTCGGTTTGTATTATTGGCAATTCCCCATGGAGCAAAGGAACAGCTTCAATCAAGTTCCATCAGTGCATGTGATTTAGCACTGCAGAGCTGCTAGTCCTGGGGATTGCCTGGCCGGCTGTTAATTGGAAAGCAGATCTGGCAGGCAGCAGCTGGGGGGAGGCCAGCAGCAGAGCCTGCCTCTCACAGCTCCCCAGCAGAGGAAGCCACAGACACTGGTGCCAGGTATTAAATGCCCAACACGAAGGATACGGAGGGAGGAAGGGGAAGCAGCTTGCAGGGGAAAATGAAGTGAAAGAGCAACATAAAGGCATACACAAGGACAGCAGCACCATCCCCAGCACGCTGCTGAGAGGTTCAATAACTGAATGGGTTCAAGGACACAAACACAATCCTGAAGGAAACATAAGGTCACTGAGCAGCTTCAAACACCCCATTCATTTTCAACAGCCAAGCTCTGAAATAAAAGGAGAGATCCCCAAAGTGTCAGCTTCTCTTTCTGCTGAAGACTTCTAGAATGGAGCTAGGGACTGTGGAGTGTGAGGAGTGGTCAGACTGCAGGGTCAGCATCCCTGTGAAACGACTGTGCCCTCTCACTCCTTCCTGGCTACAGACTAACTGCTGGAGAGGAAGCTCACAATAATTTCTAGGTGGATACCTGGCATTAGAATTATTATATCTGCACTGGACTCTTGAAACTGACAGTATCAAGAATTTTTCCAATTATCTTCAGGTTAAAAAGAAATAAACAAAATGCAGCTTAAAAGCTCAAAGAAACCCTGCAAAGGACCAACATAATTCTTTGCAATAATTCCTGAGCACTTGTGAAGAATGCTGGAGGTTTGTGTGGATCTCCCTGTCCATTCTCTGCACCCACTGATTGCCAAGTGGAAGGGAGCTGAGGAACCCAGAGTGCCTGTCCTGGCTGCTTTCTGCACAGCTCCCTGCACGTTCCAGCCAGCCTGTGCTTGGCTTCACAGACTCTAAATGCCAGAAGGAACCACAGTGAGGTGTATTCTGACCTCCTCTGTTGCACAAACCACAGGCTACTCTCAATTAACTTCTATTTCAAACAGGAAAAAAAAAAACCTTTTTGGAGGAGCAGCAGGGACAAAGGAATGTAATCTCAACTCCAAATTTTACAGCGATTGGGGATCCAGTGTGATCCCTGTTAGGCTGCCACAACAGTTAACTGTTGGCTAATTAGGTTCACTGTTACGGCGCTGCTCACAGTAATCTACTGCTCACATTTGCACAGCAATCAAACGAAACACCCAGGGACACAGGCTCTGCCAGAGAGAGAGCTGGAGTGGGAGCAGGGTGGTGAGAGGGCTGAGCTGGGGCTGCCCAGCAGCTGCCCTACCTGCCGTGCCCGCAGGGCCACCTTCGCGTTCGTCGTCTTGCTGAGCTGGGTCAGCTCGGTCAGAATATTAATCAGCTCATCTGTCAAGGTGGGGTCACGGCCACAGAGCTGGTCCTAAAAATAAAGAGGACGAGAAAGGTTTAGGAGAGAGGAAAAGCATCTTCTGTCCTCCTGCAAAGGAGTTTAGACCTGAAATACTCACACGCGCTCCCAGGCGCTGGACCACGTCACCTCCGGAGGTCCCTGTCTAAATTACTCCAGTTCTCTGCTAGAAAGGTTTAGGAGAGAGGAAAAGCATCTTCTGTCCTCCTGCAAAGGAGTTTAGACCTGAAATACATGCGCTCCCAGGCACTGGACCACGTCACCTCCGTAGGTCCCTGTCTAAATTACTCCAATTCTCTGCTGACAAGGGTGTAAGTATCAGGCTTCTGATTATTTTACACATATAAAATAGCTACAGAGGGAAGAAGGGATTGGCACCATCACCTATTTTCTCATTGGTAGCATGTGTTTTGGCATCCCAACATATAAAACACGCTGACTTGTCAAAGAGACTCAAGTAAAACATTCTCCCGCGTCCCAGTTTCAGCTTGGTACCAGAATTCTCCCCTAGCAGCAACAAAAAATTCAAAGAGCATTTAACTGTAGTGAAATGCCTTATGTAGCATGCAAAGACCAGCAAACTTCCACCGTGAGACATGACCAAGCTGGGACAATTTCCTGAAGTATGCTTAAAAAAAAATACCTCAAAACCAAAACAACCTCACAACTCCACAACCACAAACCAACCATATGCTTTGTACAGCTTCAGCAACACCAGAAAAAAACATATCCTGCCATTCCCCTCACAAGGCTAAGCAAAGCTAACTAAAACCATAAACAATATAATGTGTTTCCTGCTACAGCACAGGGTGACTCCATAATCCTCCTTCTAATCAGAAAATCCTGGATCTGAGGATGTTCTCTGTCTTACTTTACTGTCTAAAGTGGCTGGATAAAACAATAAAACTGAACAGCATGATCTTCAGTGTTAATGCTGTTCTAAACTCCTTTGGATTCAGCCATTCAAAAACAGGCAAACAGTAAACACTTTAATCTGTTTTGTTTTCTGAACACAGGAGGGGCATTCTCATGCACACTTTCTTCCAAAAATAGTTTCAATTCCCATGAATAATCCCAGTCTTCACCACTGGCTCTTTCCTCCCACTTCCAAAGCTGGAAACTCTCTAGGAGCCTCTAATGTGTTCCTTCTATACAGCAATTAACAGCTTTTCTCTTGGTAAATGAATCACAGGAGAGAAATGCAAGATGAAACAAGGATTTGCAACAGGAAAGAGAGTTGGTGTCTTAATGTTTTAAGAGATTTCAAATACACACAGTCCAGAAATCGTCCTTTGAAGATCCAAGAAAAAGAAAAAGGGAAGCCTCTGTGCAGCAGGTTAGATGGATAAACCTGCCAGGGAGAATAAAGTAAAAACCAAAAATCAAATCATGCAAGCCCCATAGGCTGACTAACGAATAACAGCTCACACTACATGTGATTCCAAAGCTGAACAGCTTCTCCTGACATTGCTCACGACTCCTTCCTCTCCGATCCTGCTCAAGCATGATGCCATCTCAGGGAACAATGGGAAACTCTTACTAAAAAAAACCTAAGCTACTAAGTCTTATTAGATTGTTGTCCCCTCCTTAACAGTCTTGGGCCAGCAAATATTACATCGATTGTTCCCAAAGAAAGTTCTGTAAATTTATTCACTCCAGGCCACTGTGTGAGTTCAAAGACTGCCTTCATGCTATTTGAAATACAAATTCCTGGGTGTTGTAATGTTACTGCTCAAGGTAACAAAACTCCAGTAGGAGACAGGACACCTGCCATGCCACGAGTGATTCTGTCCAGCTGAGGCCAGGATGTGCACACAACAGTCAGTTAAGTACATAAAATGAACATACAACTTCAAATCACGCTATATTTCAACAAATATATGAAGGATGAAGTAGTTCCCATCCTGCCTTAAATGCCTGCTAGCTAAAAAAGGTGAATGATGGCAGCATAACACCATTACTAAAACCATCCTCAGAGCCCCTTGTTAATAATGGATTCCCAGGGATACATCAATAACAGCAACATAAGCATCAAGGTGCTTTGACACGATGTTTGCCCTTGGAGGACAAACTTAAACCATCCCACATAGACAGCCTGGCAACCCACAAAGTGCCACGGCCTTTGCCATGATTACACCAAACGTGCCACAGGGTCCCGCAGACATCAGAATAATGGGAGTGGGCAGAAAGAGGAGTGATGGTGCTTTGGGTAACAGTGCCTGGGCAGATGGCAGCCCCGAGCTGTGCCACAGGCGTGCCCAGAGGCACATCACCTCTCCCGAGCCCCCCGTTCGTCGCCCACTCGAGGAGGGGTCCCTGTGGCACAGCTCTGGTGCCAGGGCAGGCACCAACTTGTGAGGCCCCCGGCACCGCGCCCACAAAACCGCTGCTTGGACCTCAGCTGAGCATGGCTGTCCTCCCACCACGCACAGCCTGCTCCCTCCAGGGTGTGCCAGGGCCTGCAAACGGGGCTG